ATTTCTTTTTATCCATGATCGAATTTTTTGAAAAATGATGATTTTTCGAAAAGATGTGAAAATCGTGATAAATTTTTGATTATCATGATGTCTTAAACCCAATTTTTAATTTTTATTGTTTGAGTTTGCTGTAACATATCAATATTCGCATATTCATTCAAAAAACATGAAAATTCTTAATGGAGTACCTCATTTCTTATTGAATTCCTAAAAAACAATATTTATAATGAATTTTAATAATTTTTTACGGATTTTTTTGAAGCTTTATTCTGACCGATTCACCCGATTTTCGATCCGAATCGCCGATTCGCCGATCCGAATCCGTTTTTTTAAAGCCCGATTCGGGTCACCAATCCGTTTTTTAAACCATTGGGATCACCCATTTCTGATCAGTCCTGATCCAAACCGATGAGAGCTCCATGCTCCTGCATAGCCTCCACGTTCCATACACGACGCTAGTGAAAATAGAGAGAGAGAGAGAGAGCCGCTTTATAAGTGAAACTGAGGCCTTCTCTCCCATTCATTTCCACTCCTCAGCTAATGCTCAGAGCCATCTCTCTCTAACTCTCTCTCTCTCTCTCTAGAATCCTGCTACAATATCTGTGCTCCAAAATGGCACCCAACTTTTCTTATCAAAGTTCTGGGAACGTTCACAGAGCCGAGGAAGAAGAGGCCGTACAAGAGAGAATTAAGGTCAACACTACATACCTCAACGCATTCTCACTCTTCCTCTTATCTCTTCTCCTCTCCTTCATCTTCTACCGTTTCTCCACCTTATCTAACCACAAAGGACTAAGTTATGTCATTTGGACCCTCGCACTTGCCTGTGAGACTTGCTTTGCTTGTCTGTGGATTTTATCAATGAACCAAAGGTGGAGCATGGTCCAGTATCGAACATACCCAAACAAGCTCCTAAAAAGGTAATAGTAAACTGTGAGTGAGATAAACACACCTTGAAACCATATCGCAATCAAGAAAAAACAACCCTACTTGCCTATGATTTAGTGAATGATATTGATTTGTAGAAATTATATTGTTGGCAATTAAGGTTGAAGACGGAATCAGAACTACCAGCAGTGGACATGTTCGTGACGACGGCGGACGCTCTGAAGGAGCCTCCGATCCTCACAGTAAACACAGTGCTATCCCTCCTTGCGGTGGACTACCCTGCGAACAAGCTTGCGTGCTATGTCTCAGACGACGGAGCTTCGCCCCTCACGTTTTACGCTCTTACAGAGGCCGTGGAGTACGCGAAACGATGGGTACCCTTTTGCAAGAAGCACGGTGTGAGTGTCAGAGCCCCCTTCATGTATTTCTCGCAGACATCTCATATCTGTAACAGTTTCTCTTCAGAATTTCTAACAGAATGGAAGAAAATGAAGGTGCATCCTCTAAACTGAACAAGGCTTCCCTATTCATTTCGATAACTGGTTTATTCTTCACATAATTTGTATGTTATGTTTATGTGAAGAGTGAATACGATGAGCTTAGCAAGAGAATCAATGAGGCAGTTAGCAGCAAGTCGGTGCCATATCCAAATATCAATGAGGAATTTGCAGCTTTCTCTCGGATGGAAAACAGAGACCATCCGAGCATCGTAAAGGTACAGGTTTGGAGATGGTTTCCGTAGACATTCTACATATGTTCGTGTAATGAACTATCGAACATTTGTTTCCACCATGAATCAACAAAATGGATGCATATACAATCTAATCTATTTACCCTTCTCTTGGAACCACGAAAATTAATTATTCATGTTTCAAAAATATGCACTCAGCGTCTCTTGGAACCACAAAGATTAATCATTCATGTTTCAAAAATCTGCCTCAGGGTCTGGCCAAGCGCGTGTCTGATTTTATCCCCAACTTCGGACTCTTCCAATATATTTTCTAGGGCAGTACCCCAAGCCTTAGAGCAGTGCCCTACAAACAAAAAAAAGTAAAAAGAAACTTAAAATTAGGTCCGAGGATGTCCTCGGATTTAGCGGTAATTTTGAAAAAAATAAAAAAAAATACTTTGACTGATATTTTTTTTGTAATTTTCACCTACAAATAAAACATTTTGTATTTTAGGATAAAATTTAGGGTCTATTATTAAACCATCGGATGAAAAATACTTTAAGGTCCAGAATCTTCATTTAAACACTTTAAATGTCACATATCTCGTTTGCAACTTATTTATTTTTTATTTTTTAAAATGTTAGGCCAAACAGAATGTGTATCAAGGGAAAATTGCTTATTATGTGTATTATCCCAACCCTATGTTATATATCGTTTCTGTCAAGGAAAGAATGCTTAAAACCCCCAAATATACGTTTCTATGCATTTTACTCCAGCCTAATTTTTTTAAACATATTTTTCCCCAAAACCAACATTTTTTAGCTAATGCCCCAATACAAAAAGTTCAATTTTTTTTTTTTTTTGGTAGAAAATACCTCTCTCGTTCATAACAAATCATTTTCGGATCCCAATAAAGGAAAATGCCGGACCGCACTTGTACAATGCCGGACTACTCACTTCAAAATGCCGGACTGTCCCTTTAAAATGCCGTGCCACCACTTTAAAATGCCGGACTGGCCATTCAAAATGCCAGACCGCTATTTCAAAACACCAAACTGCCCATTTTTCCAATCCCCGGACCGTGACTATGAAACGCCGGACCATCCATTCCAACAAAAAAAAACACCGAACCGCCTCTTCTAAATGCCGGACTGCCCTCTCCAACGAAAATAATTTATTAGGTAAGGAAATTCTATTTTCGTCCAAAAAAAAAAAGTGAACTTTTTGTATTTGGGGTATTAGCTAGAAAAGTTGGTTTTGGAGAAAAATATGTTTGAAAACGATGGGCTGGGTAAAGTGCCTAAAAAGTATATATTTTGGGGTTTTAAGAAAATTTTCCCTTCTATCTACCATACTCAACATCGTACGGTTGAGATGTGAGCCATTCAAGCTGGTGGGGAAATGAGTAACTTGAGTTCCTCTCTTTCTCCGTACAAATTCATTTTCCTCCTCACAAATTCTATCATATTTTATATTTTGAAAAAAATCAAATAAGAGGTTGATTTGACGCCCAAATATTCTCAAATTGATCATCTCGACATCAAGATGCATAGACATGAGAAAAAAATAGATTTTAATTTTTGAAAACAGTGTACTTTGAAATGCATTTTTGGACCGTCAATTTTCAAGATTTTCAAATTTTTATAGATCTGTCGATCTACACTATTTTTGAAGTTTTAAACTTTATATATAAAAATAAAAACATATGTTATGGCTATCATAAAGATTTCCAATATGAAAACTACATTTCTCCACATTATTTGATGGTAGAATCTAATTTGACTGTTCAGAGCCTAGGCTCAATACAAACCGCAATCCTTTTATTTTTGTTTGAAAATTTTGTAGGTGATAGTAGAGAATAGGGAAAGGAGCATAGGTGGATTACCACATGTAATTTATGTGTCGAGGGAGAAGCGTCCAAAGCATCCTCATCACTACAAGGCGGGTGCCATGAACGTATTGGTATACGACAAACCCTACTTTCTCGTTTTGCCAGAGTACGACCTTTTTTTTAGTGAAATTTTATTCTGTGGTGCTCCTCCATCTCCGTATCTCTCTCTCACATTTTTGTCCTTTGTTTATTATTTTACACTTTCACTCTTTGTCTTTCTCTCTTTTTGTTTTTTTTTTTTTATTATTATTTTAAACTTTCTCGTTTACTGTTTCATTGATTCTTCCAAATAAATAAAAAATTCTATTGTTTTTTGGCCTTTCCCACAATATTTAATTCTTAAATTCGACATGTTCATTATTGGGAAGAAAATGTGGATCCCTTCTCTATGAAATAATAATCCTAGATATGCTCCAGTTCTACAGGAAACACATGGAACTCTGTTAAGTAAAAAAAAAGTAATGTTAACCTCTTTCTTTACCTTTTCATCGACCAAATTAACAATATTTACCCTTTCGTGTTTTTCTAAGGACCATATCATATAAATTAAATTCAAGATGCTTGTTTTAACCCATGTTGGAAAAATCGGGCGACCTAACCGGTAAACGCCCGGTTAGATCAGAACCAGTTAGTGGCCCGTTTCAAGCGGTTTTGGTGATTGATTGGTATTTTTTAAACAACAAATATATATAAAATCTCAAAAATAAGGAATTTGATTTGCAATATATATTTTTAATATTCTTTACATTATAGTAAAGATTAGAAATTGTTTTGGTCATTAATACTCACTTTTATATTTTCTCTTTTTTTCAAAAAATTTTAAAAATACCCCTAGGCATCTTTAAAATCCATTTTTTTCATTAATTTTCAACTTCATTTGAATGTGTTTTGTTTTAATCGTTCTTTATATACTTTTCGTATTTTAGTAGAATTTTTTGTATCTTTTTTATTTTGTCTAACACTTTTTTACCTCCTTGGGACTTGCCCGGTTAGAACAGTTATATCAGCCGGTTAAACTGCTTCTGGCCCATGTCCGTTTAACCGTTCCGGATTAATTTTGCGAACATTGGTTTTAACCTACTCGTGAGGTTCACTAGATGAGAAAGAGATATGAGGATTCAAAGGAGGTTGCAAAAGAGAGAGAGTAGAAGAGGGTCAAGGGTGAGAAAGAGAGAGAAAGGGGTACAATTTTTAGGGTTCGATGAACAGGTCATTAGAAAAAATAAAAGCCATAAATATTGTAATTTGGACAATTAAAAAAAAAACCAGAACGGATTATTTATTTTTATTTATTTATTTATTTATTATTGTTATTTTTATTATTATTTTACTTGGAGGGAGTCTATATACTAGACGGGGGGGGGGGAGGTATTTTTAATTCTTTTTCTTTCCAGTGATCTAGATTGGTTCTCCATAAGACCATTTGTAGCCCCTGGGTACTAAAAGCCTATCACTAAGATTTTTCTTGTAAACTAGCAAATAAGAGATAATAAAATTTAAAAAAGAATAGATTGCTCCTTGAATTCCCATGTCAAAATGGCTTATAGGGAGGAACCTATATTATAGCCTTCTCCCCGCAGGATCCACCATCAAAGATGGAACACTTTTATTAAGGCCATCAACAAAGACAGAAAGTGTTGGCTGGTGAATACCTCCTCCTCCTCCATCAGACAAAATTTGTTTTGGACGGCGTGGAAGGGGCAGTGCGCGTATAATACCATATAGTGAATTCCGTCACCACCATCCAACAGTGAATTCCATCCTTGATGAGAATAGATGCCTACCATATATTTGTATAATTTGTTAGCCCAAATGAACACAAATGACTGAAACAATTTATAAATCCCCCAAAGTTGTGAGGAAATGGATAGGAAAAGATCAGTGGTTGAAAATTCAGAGCCTAAGCCTAAGCCTGATCCAAGTGACTTGGGCAAGTTGCGTCCGCTAAAAATAATAAAAATAAAAAATAAAAAAATAAATATAAAAGCTTTTGGCCCAATGCCCAATACCAGGCTTTGGCACGTAGCCAAAAGGAAGAAAGACATTTGGACAACTCTCTCTGTCCCTCACACACATCTCTCTTTCTCACCCTCACATCTATGGGATCTCTCTCCTCTCATGCATATAAATCTCTCTCCCGCTGAGGAGAGAGAGTTAGAAATAAAGGGTGGATTTCCATGACCTCCACTCCCTTTAGAAAAAGGTAAAAGGGGTAGGCCTATGCTTCATTTTAGGGGCCTGTTTCATAACTCGGAGGTAAATGTCTTTTGGAAATTGCAAGCTGGGAAGAAAGAAGTTATTTAGGGAAGTTTTGAGTATATATGTTTGATAACTTAATGTTAAAGAAGTTCTAGGTATCTGTGTTTGACAACTTGTTGAAATATTTATTTAAATATTATTAAAATATTATATATTAAATATTATTTTTATATTCGATATAAAACAAATATCGTATTGAAATATCCATTACATACATACAATATATTATACAACAAAATATATTATATTTTATATTATGTAATATTTTATATTATATTAAATAAATATAT